ACACTTTATCTGTATTTTAAATATAAAATGGTAGTTAAGATTTATTTAGTTTATGTCCAAATATCAACAAATTTTGTTTTCAGCTTTTTCACATGCTAGAAATCAAATGAAACCAGGAATACTCTTCCATATAGATTTTGTAAATATTGATATGTATATTAGTCAGCATATGTCAAAATAGCATAATAATTAAAGCATTACTATGTATTCATATGGATCATTGACAGTGTATGGTAAATTATAAAATTAGATTTTAAAATACAAGATCAAGATCACATGATTTTGACCCCTGTGAATGATAGTCAAAATACATGTAACATTTCCACATACTTTCGTGTACAGTTCAATAAAAAATATGAACAAGTCATGTACATTTTTACTCAATAAGATTGAAACAACTATGTTTGTTTCTTTTTTTGTTATTGTAATATTTTTATAATTGTCAAACAATGACGTTCATAGTAGCTGCCCCAAAAGCTGAATAACTTTGCTAATTCTGACCCAATTTTGAATCTGTTGTCTCTTGAATGTTGCCTCTATCTTCCACTCATCAAATAAAGGTCAAAACTATGCACACATTTTGTCATTCGGCCTAAGTTCTAATATGTATGTTGCTAACTGGGATATTCTGAACAAAAATAGATTGATGATGTCACAATTTATGCAAATTAGGTAATTTGCATAATTGAATATTGTAATCGTACAGGAAATTTTATAAGGTTTAATTTGATACCAATATCATATCTATAGACCAAATAATGACAAAGCTACAAACACTTTAAACGTCCATGGTAAGATGTCTGAATAAAATTGTCAAATAATGACATTCACAGTAGCTGCCTCGAAAGTTTAATAACTTTGGCAATACTGATCCAATTTTGAATCTGTTTTCACTTTTATGTTGCTTATACATTCTTCTTATAGTCTAAAGGACCAAACTTTGCCGAAATTCTGACATACGGCCTCAGTTCTAATAGATATGTTGCTATACTCAAAATTTCTGAATCAAAAATTGATTGATGACGTCACAATTTATGCAAATTATCTAATTTGCATAATTGAATATCATTACTTTATGAGAAAATTAATTAGGTTTAATTTGATACCAATATCATCTCTATAGACCAAATAATGACAAAGTTACAAATGATTTAAGATTCCAAGGTAAGATGTCTATAGATGCGTAACCATGGTAACGGAATGCTACAATACAGAGCAACCAATGAGAGTTTGCAAGGGCATCCGGCAAAAAATTGAGCCTCAAAGTGTTACCTTTCAGAAAAGTATGGATGCCATAAATTAACAGAGACCGCCACGTTGGGTAAATTTTTTGAAACGATAGAGAGGCATGGGTTTCTAACTATACTCTCAATTTTCTGACAGATTAGCTGAATTGGTGGTGGAATCCCCATTCAGCAATCAATTAGTAGCAAGTTGTACATATTTACGGCTACAATTAAAGAATAACACTCGTTTTGCTTATAATATTGGAATTTAACATGGAATTAAATTGGGACTATCGCATTCTCTGACCGAATCCGAATTTTATTCTGTTTACAATGATCCGGATCAAATTCAAACCAGATTCAATCAAGTTGTGCCTATTGGATATAAATGACGACACTCGGATGAGAAGATAAATGCATATTTCATAGAATTTAACTATATATCACTCTGACAGTCAGGTATACTTCAACGCAAAAAGAAGAAATCGAAATTTCACAAAATATTGGATCGCATGCTTCATATACTGAAGTAAAAACAAAATGTTTGAGGGAGAGACAAAACGGAAAAACTCAGTTGCTTTTGTGGAAAAGGAATTCAGAAATGAAGGTGTAGATGACACGAATGGCGATCCAACTTGGTACAAGGATCTCACTAAAGTGTTTCTTGGTAAAGAGTTCGAACAAATGCAAAGACCAAACTACGAGAATGAGTATTCGGAACCTTGGTATGCCCGTTCTGCTATATCAGAGGAACAAGGTGACGATGGTGCGCCACAAGGTAATGTAAAAGATGTATGATCGGGGTGGGGGTATGGCAGTATAGAGTATAAATAGGAGAAAAAGTCCTCATTAAAAAAGTTCAGTTACTCAAATTATTTTTAGAGGAAAACATTATGAAGACAATTTTCAGATTGATTTGCAAAGTGAATAAACATTTACACAATAATACTCCAGCTTTTGACTGAAAATGTTGTCAAGTCTCGTGAACGTGTGCTGGAAATGCAATGCCCTATAAAATAATACTAAATGTTTAAGGCTATCTTAAATGGACGCACCAATTTTCTATGCCGTTGTAAAAGCGTAGTCTCCAAATAAGTAAATAAAAATGAAACAAAGGTATAGTACCTGCTCACGACAACAATACTTAATTACTTCATTTACCATACAATAATGATTATTAACGTTAATGCTATTTTTTCATATATACTATGACACATTCCGTCGTTATACATCCCATTGTATGGTATTGTATAGGCCCAGGGCGCATACTTTGGGGTGTCTCGAGATTTGATCAATACGACACACCTTTATTCAAAACAAGTTTCATCATTATTATATATTTTTAAATTAGCATTTTTATTTCCCATTTTTATAAATGCAACGTAAAGCACTTGCAACCACTGTTAAGGAAAGCAAATCCCCAATACCCCGAACTATGGCATATCGCACAAGGACAATATACGAAATGATGAGATTCTGTTTCCTAATATTTGTTGTACACTTTTCTCCAGTTTTAGAATATTAACATGCTAATATCATTACATTTGGATTGTCCTGTTGTTTATTTGAAATATCATGTTTTTGATTGCGATATTTTGGCAAAGATTCGATGAAATTCATTTCGTTCGGATATTGACCCACCACATGGAGCCAAACGTAAATTGGATCAAAATATGCTAAATTCTTCGATTACTTTTATTATTCGAATCGGAGTTGTCATTTCGTAATGCACAGTTTTTACTGTGGAATCTTATAATACCCAAGCCTCTATCTTCCTAACAAGAAATCCCATTTTGTTCTAAAATGCCAATTACAGGTGTATAAACATTGGGTGTATACGAATTTGTATATATCAAAATGTCCAATCAATTAAGAAAAGTGAAAGTACTTAGTACCTAAATTAGAGTCAATATGGAAATACAAATGACCATTAATATATAAAAAATGTATTTCAATTAATACAACTTGATGGTTGTTTTGTAACTACTGGGCGTTCGCGATAACACTCAGACCGATCCCAAAAGCACGTTTTACCTCAATTAAGCAAATGTGTTGTGTTATTAGTGTTTGGGATTGGATTGTGTTTATGAAACAAGAATAATACGGGTAGCAATTATAACGATGGGTATTATGATATGAAAATAATCCCCAAGAGTCGTGAGGTCAAACGTCATAGTTAATGAAATAGACTATCATCAAAAATCCCTTTAAAAGTTTTACTACGATAAATAATTTAACGCGTACGTGTATATACAATGTAACGTTAAACTGCACTAATGTATTACATTAAGTTGTAGCTTAAATAAACCGATTTTGTATGTTGAAAGTATTGTTAGCACCTTTTCGCTAATGTGATTTCATTCGAGTCTATTCGAGGCAAGCAATTATCTATTTAATGTCTTCCTTGTGAATGGGGCGAATCTTAGGAGAGTGGGGTGGGGCTAAATAGATTTTATAATTTAATAAATCGTAAATTACCATGAAACATGCAAAGAGTGTGACTTATAAAGCGACTTATTTGGGTTCACGTAACGTTTTAATGAAGACAAAAGGGAGGTTTAACTGTACGTTTTCAAGGGAAGTTATGAGCGAACGTGAAATTTTATAACATTTCTCAATTCCTTTTCCGGAGATCTAATCACAGCCGTTTTATAACACCGTTATTTGGGCAATATACTCGGAAGGGGAGAACTATTAATCCATACACCCCCAATCCGGCACCGTAAGGTACATTAAGAGTGTGGTGCCGGACGATTGTGGTGTTGTACAGTATCCACGGTATCATACGGTATTATTTTGGTCTACGGTGACATATTTACGGTACTATATATTATCGTATGATCTGTAAAATTAAGCCCTCTGATTGGTCAGTTCTTGTGCTGTACCAATCTGTATTGCTACTGAGGTTGTCTCCGTTGATCATCTCCGTCGCAATACAGAAAATATTGGTGCGGAGGGGACAATCTCAGTAGCAATACAGAGGATCACACGATAAAAACGTCATTGAATGATTTGAAGTGCAAAACAGGATATATTCTGTCTCGATATTCTGTATTGGCACTCGACTTCGTCTCGTTCAAATACAAAAATTCTCAAACAGAATATAACCAAAACGGCACCATGCATCACAATTATACACGTTCACGTACACGTTCTCTTAAACGAATATAATGCATGTCATTTTCAATCCGCAAAACCATTGAATTGTAATCAGGTTGTGATTTTATATCACATGTTCTACTCATTGTTTGTTTCAGAAAATGTCCCATACGTTCTTTACATAGTCTAATTAGTAATTTGTATTTACGTTAACGTGTCTCTTCTTTGATCGCTAATCCTGGAGATGAAGGAAATACTAGGAAATATTAAATATGTCAAGTGCGACCAACGTGCACACTCTCATCGTAAACTGATTTCTGTAATTTTCAGAGCATGGTTGATGACATTATTGTGCTCATTGCTCAAATGATTGATGTATTTTTACACTAAAAGAGAGAATTGTATTGTGGTTTACTTGATTATTCCTCATCTTTTGATCGAATCGGACACAATGGACTGTGGCTAAAACTAATAAAAATATGTGGGATAAAAGGGAACTTTTTAGTTCTAGTACAAAACATGTATGAAAATATGAAATACTCTTTTGTATACTCTACATGTATATAACCCATAAGGGGTAATATGAGAAATAAATAAATGAATAAAAAATAAATAAATGGTACCTTCTCAACCACAAGTAAACGAGTATTAACAAAATAGTATATTGATATTTCTAGTTGGAGCCCCTTTGAAGCGTAACTTATCTTCAGATGCCCTTGGATATGGTTATTTCAACAAGCCTAGTAGACCACTACCACCAGGCTATGACGAAACAAAAGTTGAGCCGGAAGCAGACTCGGAAACTTGGGGAAGCTTGCTCTATGATTTTACCCAGAACACAACCTTCCATGGTGTTCGATACATACCCCAGCCGACTGTTTTTCTTGTCAGACGGTACATGTTTAATATCTATAAAGTGTTTGGGAGTTGAGGTCAGTGAGGGGTTAGTGATCACTGTTTCTGATTTTGAAAAAAATTAAAGTATACTGCCCTCTATAAGTTTGACAACTACTTTTTCTTTCTGACAATAATGAATCCTGATTTTTGGGCTAGGCTATTGACATTCACAAGATTGCGAAAAAACTTTTCATACGACAAGAAACCAAATATTATACATTTTTGGTAGGTGACATATTACCATGTATCGCTAATTAGTAATTACTGTATACCCGCACATGGGTACGTATGACAAGTCTCTCACCCCTTCATTGAAGGTAACATCCGGGTTTTTAAAATACTACATGTATTTGTTTCAGCATATTGTGGATAGCGGTTGTACTAACGAGCACGTGCTTTTTCTGTAATATCGTCTACAACAGGTTGTTTACTTATTTCGAGTATAACACTATTGTGAACGTCCAAGTGGAATCAGCGTCAAGTTTAAAATTTCCAGCAGTCACCATTTGCAATCACAACTTCTTAAGGTGAGTAAATGCTGAAATATGAAAATTGAATGCCTGTTTTATACGTGTATTATTAAACAGGATATTTTTGCATTTGTTCTTATTGATCAGAGACAGCTCGAAAAACGTTGTTTATAATTATGATACCATAGAAGCGCCTATAATG